TGGGTCGTGGCACCTGGTGCTTAATGGGACCAGCAAAAGACAGGGTCGGGTAAATAGGCGGTCATACAGATGTGAAGAGACAAAATGGGAGGGCTATATACAGGTGAAGAGATAGCATGGTTATAGAAGGTTGTATACAGATTGGAGGTTCATATACAGATGCAAGGTTAACATTGGATGCTTATAAAAGGAGATGAGACAATATGCTAGGGTTATATAGAGGTGACGAAATAACATAAGATGGTTATAGAAGGTCAGGAGACAACATGGGAGGATTTTTTCGGGTAAAGAAACAACATTGGCGCATTTATAAATGTGAAGAGATAAATGGGAGGGTTATATACGATCGACGAGACAACATCGTACGGTTATATAAGGTAATAAGATAACATGAACAGGTTATATACAGGTGAAGAGACAACAGTCTGTTATGTGAAAGTAATGCGTAGAGAAATAGTGAGTGAGTTTGATTTTTCGCCACCTTTAACAATATTCCATCAATATCACGGCGGAGGAAACCGGAAATGGGCTTCACACATTGTACCCATGTCGGGAATCGAACCCGGGTCTTCGGCGTGACGAGCGAACGCTTTAACCACAAGGATACCCGACCGCCCACATTTAGAGAGAGGATAACAAGGACGAAAACTATGTCATTGTCGTGGTAATAACGCCACACTGTTGAAAGAAACTTACATGAAGTGCATCTGAAATATTTATAGTTGTATATCTTTTACCTGCCGTCGGTACAAGACAAGGCCAGTTTGTGTATAGTTACTGCCACTGCTAGTAAACCGTTCCTGATGTAAGTTAAGTATATAACAAGCTGTTCACGTATATTACAATATTTAGGAATATGAACTATCATGGAATTGTGTTACAGTTGCATTTTTCCAAATGAACACAGTTGTGGTTGACCTGCACATGTCGACTAAATCCGATTCGTATTTTTTATCTCAAATGACGGGTGACGTGAAAGGAGCCATTTGCAGTGGAGACGGACGCGCTCGGTTTTGCGGTCTGCATGCTTTTCTGTGTTTGGTTCCATTGACAATGTGCGATGCAAGCGTTATGGAATGTTTGGAATGTTTGTAGTTTTATGGCTATTTCTATCTAGAGTGTATACAAATTCCATAGTTTCTGAAAGCTCTCTGCTGGTTTTGTTTGGTCGGCCTGTATATATTATGATCATCTTGTTATAAATTGTTCCTCGACCAAGGAAAAGACAATACTTCCGTCCAAATATACTTGCATGTAAAATCTCCGACCGTTTAAACTATTTAGACGCTGGGACTGTGGACTATGACATCTCTGATTGACAAAATGAAGTTTATGTTCCTTGGGAGGTTGTGTAGAAGCAGCCACAGACATGCCCCTAAAAAGGTGTTCTACTTCAGGTGTGCTCAATATACAACAGTCAGTAACAAAAGTAAGTCTGTAACACATGATCTACTCAATATGGCAAAGAAGTATGACTGATGGACTACAATAGTTCACTTTATAGAAACAAACCAGTTTCCATCCAAGCATTTGTGGAAGAAAACCGTAGGCTAAGACTGAAACATGAAACTTCTCAGTGGCACGCATGCCAGCAAGATTACGCTTAACTAAACAGATTAAGTAAAATTCGTAGTAAGCTTGTACCACATAGATTGTGCAATACGTGTATTTTGTACAATGTGCCAACTAGACCTATGTATGCACTTGTGAATCTAGGAACACTACCAAAAACACGTGGGCAGTGTTTAATGTGTGATGACGAGTGCGATGACATAATAAAGCACCAACTGCTATGCTGTACATCTTTAGCAGTACCCTGAACCTCGAACCCCAAACAATACATGTGTATTGAAGACTGTGCAGATGACGAAGTAAAATGTGTGACATTGGTTTTACGCCGCTTTTAACAGTAATCCAGTTATATCACGGCGTGTCAGCTTAATGTGGGAGGAAAGCCCGAAGTGATGCAGGTCTCAGACGTTTACCACTTCGTCGAAACCCACGAGCACGGGCATGGTGCTGACAAATCTAGAAACATAATCGGGGCGAACAGGGATTCGAGCCCACAATCATAGGTTTCTGGCGTGCCCAAGGGACGCAACTCTGCACAGCGAATCGCGGCGCCTTAGACGACTGGGCAACCCCTGCCCCCAGAAGGTGGTATAACCCTATTGTAGAGGACATGAGCCTTGACAGCTGGACTGAATTCATATCTTCTGTATCACGAGACATAAGCTCCCGGAACCTGCGATCAATGATCTATCTATAGACAGTATATCTCATGCCAGGATCACGCCATGTAAATATTCGGTATTGTTATATTCAGGATTAAAATGTATATCACTCTCCGAAATAAATGGAGGAAATAAAGATCACTTATTCTTTCATTCATTATACAGGTGAAGTGACAACATGGGAGGTTCATATACAGATGCAGTGTTAACATTGGATGGTTATAAAAGGTGAAGTGACAACAAGCTAGGATTTCCTTCTTTTAGCCCCTTTATGCCCAGCGCCAGACAGGATAACAACAAGTTCCATCTTTTAACGTCTTTTGGTATGACGCGGCCGGGGATCAAACCCCGGACCTTCCGCTCTCCGGGAGGACGCTCTACCAGTAGACCATGGAGGCGGTCTACAGACGAAGAGACAACATGGTGGTCTTATATAGTGGTGACGAGACACTGGGGTATACAGAGACAATATGGGAGGGGTATACAGAGGTGACAAGCTAATATTGGAGGGTTATATACAGACGAAGGGACAACATGATGGGGGATGTACAGACGAAGAGACAACACGGAAGGGTTTTATGGAGGTGGCAAGACAACAAGGCGGGGTTATATACAGGTGAAGAGACAACAAGGCGGGGTTATATACAGGTGACAAGACAACAAGGCGGGGTTATATACAGGTGAAGAGACAACAAGGTGGGGTTATATACAGGTGACAAGACAACAAGGCGGGGTTATATACAGGTGAAGAGACAACAAGGCGGGGTTATATACAGGTGAAGAGACAACAAGGCGGGGTTATATACAGGTGAAGAGACAACAAGGCGGGGTTATATACAGGTGACAAGACAACAAGGCGGGGTTATATACAGGTGAAGAGACAACAAGGTGGGGTTATATACAGGTGAAGAGACAACAAGGTGGGGTTATATACAGGTGAAGAGACAACAAGGCGGGGTTATATACAGGTGAAGAGACAACAAGGTGGGGTTATATACAGGTGAAGAGACAACAAGGCGGGGTTATATACAGGTGAAGAGACAACAAGGTGGAGTTATATACAGGTGAAGAGACAACAAGGTGGGGTTATATACAGGTGAAGAGACAACAAGGTGGGGTTATATACAGGTGAAGAGACAACAAGGCGGGGTTATATACAGGTGAAGAGACAACAAGGTGGGGTTATATACAGGTGAAGAGACAACAAGGCGGGGTTATATTCAGGTGAAGAGACAACAAGGTGGAGTTATATACAGGTGAAGAGACAACAAGGTGGGGTTATATACAGGTGACAAGACAACATTGGAGGGTCATATAGAGGTTAAAAGACAACATGAGAAGCTCATATAGAGGTGACAAGGCAACACTTGAGGGTTATATATAGACAAAGAGACAACATGGTAGGGTTATTTAGAGGTAACAAGACAACACTGGTGGGTTATATGTAGACAAAGAGACAACATGGGAGGGTTATATAGAGGTGACAAGACAACAATGGTGGGTTATATGTAGACAAAGAGACAACATGGGAGGGTTATTTAGAGGTAACAAGACAACACTGGTGGGTTATATGTAGACGAAGAGACAACATGATCAAGCGTACCTAATTGTAATATATATTGTTCGAGATTGTTTGGTAGAGAGTTAGGTTATTGTGTATGGTAGATAGGAAATATAGCAGCAGCTGGTATGTGGAGTTATGTGATTATGACATTCAATTTGGTAATCAGTACGATCATTTATAAGGTTTTTTAAACATTCATACCATGAAAGGGCAATGTGACACAGTCATGACATCACATGAGTAGAACGCACTGGCCCACCTCCTTTCATAGTCATCAACATGTTACATTTCCTGTAAAATAACAACCTATAATGTCCTTTTTTGTTCGCGAAAAACATTATATTTCAAACATATTGAGTTGTGAGTAAACCCTTTTGTGAAACAAGTTGTCAGAAGTATGGTGCTACTATTCAAAACTAATCACTTCAAAGAACATACATGCATATGTGCTGAGTCACTGTGAAAACACACATTCACTCTTTTATTATACTTGGCGAAATGGCGACAAAAAAAAATAAAAAATTCTTCTTGGTATTTAGGCATGATAGAATCAAACACGCTAATGTCGTCGTACGGGCTTGAACCTCATTCGATGTGTTTAAAGATGGACTTGAGCACAAAATTCATCTGGTTCAATTTTGTGTTTAAGTTGATAATAGTTTTTCAGTATAGTTGATGTTAAACGACGATTTATCACACATATTAGTGGCCATATTAATGTTTAATATTTTGTATTACAAGAGTAAAGAACATGTCATTTGCCATATATATTTTTTTAGAAACGTGCGTACTATATATATATATATATATATATATATATATATATATATAAATATATATATATATATATATATATATGTGCGTGTGCGTGTGCGTGTGCGCGTGACAGTCTTTAAAGCACAGTACCCGTGTACCTAAACTAAACTGAGACATACTGAAATGGAACGAGAAGATATGAGACGATAAATGTGAACATAATTATTAGAACTTAATATGTCATTCGAAAACCAAGCAGATGTTATATAACTGTAAAGAAACAGTAAACAGTTAGGGAATAAAATGTGAAATGACTATCAGCTGGCCAAATGAAAAAAAATCATGACGTACAAGGGCGTGCTCCATTTAAGTATGACGCAAATCAGTCAAGCGTTGTCGCCTATAGTAAAAAATCAAGGGAGAGCCTGGCACTTGAAACTCGCCTCTCACGTAACACTTCCTCACTGGAGCGGATTACCGTCACTTCAGCCATCTGTGTGTCCACTCCAAACCAGCGTTCCCATAGTCTACCGGCCATCTCGTTAGCCTTCACTCCCTTGACTTCAGTCACCTGACCGGCGCAAGGTCGGCCCCGTTTAACCTGACCCGGGTCATTTTGTATGGACAAGTGACAGTGGACGGTCATCTACTCATGGATAGTGCTACCTGCTGTCTGGTGTCGGCTCTGATCGTCTTCTTGGGAATATTATGCTTAATAGGTGAGGAATACTTTATGTATAGGGTTTTTTCCCTTTAGTTAATGGTTATTAAGAAGAATAAATTAAAACAATTTTAAGATTTTTTTCTAAATTTATTTCTTTACCTCGATATGGTAATGTAACAGTTTGCAGGCAAAATATAAAAGATGAATTTACGATTGTGAAATTCTATGATCTGATATGGAAGAACCGTTTCTGTCATTTTTTATGTAATGTCCTGCTCACAATTTTGATGATTGTTTGGCGCATATCCAATACACGAATGAGATCACTAACGTTTGAAATTCTAAATTATGCTTCGATATTGATTTTTTATTTCACCCACATACTTATCCAGGAGATAAATTTCTGCGAATTTTTTAGATATTTTTACTATTTTTTTATGAAATATTAAAATACTTTTGCGACAAAATATTACGGTTGATAATATCACACATCATTTTCCCTACTTATAAAACTTATAAGAGCATGTTTTGTGTATAAATTCATCAAATAATTGTTCCATGTAGAGAAATAGAGATCAGATGTACCATCGTTGTTTGGTGTGGTTAAACAAACATAAATAAATAAATAAATAAATAAATAAATAAATAAATAAATAAATAAATAAATAAATAAATAAATAAATAAATAAATAAATAAATAAATAAATAAATAAATAAATAAATAAATAAATATTTCGTTATGTATATCAATCATTTGGTTAATATTTACCGCATAAAATCTCTTGTTACAAGGTCGAAGCGTAGACTACAGTTAGACAGCAGACCGTGGAAATAACCCAATGCATGATAATGCACATTTCTGTATTGTTGCTATCGCAACTATTTTTGCAGGTAACCATATCCTTATCAAATCATTGCATTCATTGCATTCATAAATCCGTACCTTTTAATATATCTAACCAACCTAACAACAACCTGGGGAACTTTAACACCTACACTAATCTAGATTAATGAAGGAAAAGGCATGTTTCCATGTCGTATTAGCGACAGCGGGTAATTAGATATGGTCGCCTCTATGTAATGCCCGCGGCTGTATCACCGTGATGGCGCTAATGAGATCTGACTACATCGAAATCTGTCTCAGAAGGCCATCAATCTGATTGACAATATCGGGAGCATTTCCGTTCCACGGTGGAAACTATGTACAACGACTTGTAACGGAAAACTTAATGTGCCAATCCTATGATGTATGGGCTGTAGGCTGTCTATATAATTATTAATGCGCGACATTGGAAATAGGTTAGCTTTTCGCCTGCATGTCAAAAGCAATTAGTGCATGTGGGGAATTTTAATAACCTTTCATGTGTTAATGAAGTGACATTGATTTCAGCTAAATGACATAAGATCAGGAACGGTGATGTCTTTGAAGCATCTTGGTTTAGCACTGAATTAAGCCGGAACATTTCTCTTAAATTTATTTTTGATCAAATATTTTTCTTATTAAATGAAAAGAGCTTTCGTCAAAGTATTAAAATATTATTTCGCTATTTTATTCACGCTCGCGTTAATATCAAGATTTATAGTACCTTTTTCAGGTACCTGTATGGCTTTATGTAGTTAGCACTGGGACATGTTTATAACTAAAACAATACTATTGTCTCCCCCTGCGGCATTTGTACAATGCTACGATGGACAACCCTATTTATCCAAGTACACATTCGAAAGCTGTAATCGACATAAGGTCAAAGTCTAATATCCTCAGTATACCTCCTGGGGAAGGGAGGTAGCTGCGAGAATACTCTCACATCACGTTATGAGTGAGTGAGGAGTGAGCAGCTCGGTTTGACGATGCTCACAACAGTATTTTAGTTCCATCACGGGAATCCCTATAGTCTCTAAGACGTTTACCACCTTGGTGAAACCCACCAGCGCGGGTATGGTGCTGAAAAGCCTAGAAACATTAGCAGGTTAAATACTTGATTAGAACTCAATATCATAGCTTTCTATCACGCCTTAAGGACGCAATTTTGCACATCGAATTGGAGCGCCTCAAACGTCTGGACCAGCCGCGCCCCTATAACGTAATGTAGTTACGTTGCATTTCAGGCGAAAACGAATGGTTTACGATTACATAAAGTACCGGGGAGGAGACAATATACTCTTGGAAAAGGGAATACAAACGTTGCCATACCGATACCAGGCTAAAAACAGTCGCCGAAAGTGCAAACTAAGGTCCAAACTAAGATATTCGTGTCACATACATCATCATTGAATAACCATTTCTTGTTTGTTTTATTTTAAGCCACCTTAGCCATACTTTCTTATATATATGAACAGTATATCTAATCATTATAGATCTATATAATTACAGATTTTGGTTATCAGTATAATTTTTCATATTACGTTCCGCTAGTCGGGCGAATTGTCAATGTCAGCTATTGCTATTTCGGCTTGTGTTCGACGTATTGCTTTCCCTTGCAATGCATCGACACTTCGATAAATGAATAATCTTGTTTTTCAGAATGCAAAACAGAGATACGTACGGAGTCCATCTGCTACAACACAAGCCCCTGCACTGACAAGTACCACACACTGATGTGTGAATCCAAAAAGAGGATCGCTGTCCACCATGCTGTTTACGGCTTCAAGTCGTCCGACCAGTGCCCTACCGTCACCGACTGCAACAACAGCACCGACACCTCCTGCTGCGACACCGACGAAGCGGGCGACTGTCAGATGGCGTTCCACCAGGAGGGCATAGACCAGATCGTTGAGGACTGCTATGGGCAATCGCGATGCTCCTTCCCCAGTCCAAAGACATCAGGGTCGTGTTCTGATTCTACAGTTAAAGTGTCAAGCTACTCCAAACTATATTACAGGTGTATTGCAGGTGTGTGGTATATTTAGTAGCACAGTACATATTTAGCTGTAAATTTGCCGTCACAATATGTGATTTTCGACATCGTGTTTTAGAGAACTACTCAGGGAGACTGACCATAGTTAAAATATCATTGTTCACTGCATTAGGGGGCGGTGGGATAGCCTTGTGGTTAAAGCATTTGCTCGTCACCCCGAAGGCCCGGGTTCGATTCCCCACATTGGTAAGAATGTGTGAAGCCCATTTCTATTGTTCCCCTCCGTGGAATTGGTGGAATATTGCGAAAAGCGGCGTAAAACCCAACTTACTCGCTCACTCACTCATTGCTTTGGTATGAAGCTGACAAACCCTAATCGAATCGATTTCTGGTTCGAACCCACTACCACAAGATCCTTAAACTCCCAAGGGATGTAACTTTGCACAAACTACAGGGAAGCGGTGTCCCCGTGCTCATCTCAAAACACATGGGTAATAAACTGATATATTTCCTTGTCTTCAGAATCAACAATTGCCGATTTTTGTTCCGTGGAGACGGTACGAGGTGAGTCCACGTTCTCAGTGTACGATCCCAGGGGGTCCAACTTCAAATCGGGCACCTGTTCATGCACAGTGGACTCTGCCAACCCCAGTGTCAAGGCCAACATTCAGGTATACGGAGTGTACATGCGCCTGAACGGCACCGCTAAAGCAAACCAGTGTTCTAAACTGACCATCTACGACAGAGACACTGCATACGTGTTCGGCTGCGACAACGACAAGAAAGTTGAACAGGAGGAAGAACAACAGGAACAGTCCCTCCTCAACACGACAACGCCGGTGACGGTCCGTCTGGCTCTAAGTCCAACCAGTCCACCTAGATATGTGTGGATAGGATTTGAAGGTACACTTCAGAGAATATAATTATCATTATCAGTTTACGTTATTAATGTTACAGCATGTTCCCATCACTAAGTACACGATACTGTTCCTGAGCATAAACTAGTGAACAAACGTAAGATTTTCATATAGATTTTGACCCGTGAAGATTCCGGGGTAGAAAATAGGTCTTCAGCAACCCATGCTTGTCGTAAAAGGCGACTATGCTTGTCGTAAAAGGCGACTAACGGGATCGGGTGGTCAGGCTCGCTGACTTGGTTGATACATGTCATCGATCCAAATTGCGTGGATCGATGCTCATGATGTCAATCACTGGATTGTCTTGTCCAGACTCGATTATTTTACAGACCGCCGTCATATAGCTGGAATATTGCTGAGTGCAGCGTTAAACAACAAACAAACAAACAAAAATCATATAGATTTATTAATGAAAATATTATTTATGAAATATGGCAATAAATTTGATGATGATGACTCTTAGCAAATGCTTAAACTGTGTAAGCAAGACACTACTTGCAGCCGACCCCTTTAAATTGAAATCAATGACTATCACAGAACTTTAAGTAAACACAAACATGAAAGAATGCCAAGAATAGACTTCACATGTTATCTAAGTGGGATTTAATCCAGCGTCCTCGGTGTAATCCAATCCAGTACAGCAAAGATCACGAAAGAAAAACACGTGTACATACGGTTGCTCGATACAATTATAACCAATAACAGCTGCATACTTATTTTGTCCGCAAGATGACTAAAGTATCAATGATCCTGACTATATCGTGTCAGATGACATTGTTGAGATTTTAGATATAATGCATCATTCTTTCAAAGATCATTTTCCTCAGGATATGATATTATCCTGAAGCAGGGTTTCCAGTAAATAGGATTTGCTTTGCACGCCCATGCCTATTTTCACAACAAAACGTGTCTTCAGTGAAGGCGTAGATGGGGACAAAAGTCAGACTGACAACCTCGTTAATGCAATCAGTTATCGATTTACTGATTGGAAACTGGTAATACATCTTGTGTAAGAAGGTACACTGCTGATATTGTAATCGAGTGTCTCTTTTACAGCCAATGATGCCGCCAACCTGGTATTGAGGTGCCACGCTGACGAGGGAAACATTGCAGGGGTGTTCAACAAACTCGTGGGGGACGCTGACGGCATAGGTAAGACATCCCACAGTGCAGTCTGAGTTATACCTAGCTTTATGCAAGTAAAACAGGGGTATTCTTATTCGTATATATGTCACAAAAGAAGGAATATGAAGCAAATACAAGGACCAATATTCCCAAATCAATCAATGACACCAGGTGTCTGTTAAAGGGGCGTCCGTCCCTATCGGTTGCACCCGTGTATTGTGTAATGAGGCTACTGTACTGCAATGTTTTTACGTTATTCATTTTTCCATTAAACATGCGTTTTATGATAGGTATAGTGTTGTTTTTAAAGTCACTGTGTTAGTCTTAGTCAGACGTTTGAAGCTGCTTACAGACAATTCCCTTGAATTAAAGCGAAATGTGTTAATACAACAGAAATATTAAATAATATGATGATTGGTTTCCTCAGACCCTGACTTCGTCGCCGCCATTCTGTTCGGAGTCCTTATAATGGTTGTCGTTCTGTCGGTAACATTGGCAGGGTTTCCGTGGTATATGAGGTGAGGCAACCAACACAGTGATGCACTGGGTAGCCATGGAATGCCATACTGCATATAGTACACTGAAAGTATTATTATCCTCTTGTATATATTGTATATTAACATGAAAACAGTATATATATATATATAACCACCAATACTAATGCTGAAGTTATTGTGAGTGTACGCTAAGGATAATTGTTTCATTCCGGGGTCGAATAGGTCTTCAGCAACCCATGCTTGCAGTAAAAGGCGACTATGCTTGTCGTAAGAGGCGACTAACGGCATCGGGTGGTCAGGCTCGCTGACTTGATTGATACATGTCATCGATCCCAATTGTGTGGATCGATGCTCATATTGTCAATCACTGGATTGTCTGGTCAATACTCGATTATTTACAGACCGCCGTCATAAAGCTGAAATATTGCTGAGTGCGGCGTTAAACAAGAACAACAACAACAAAAAACATCATTCAGGCAACAAGTACATAGTACAATAATATATTAAGGAGGATATATGATATGTGCCATTTTTACCATTGGAATGGAAAATCTTACAGAAATTGTATTGGAATGTTGTTATAAAAGTTTGTAGATATAGTCAACATACAGTCATTTGCTTTCTATAATGACTTCGGCTGTATGGTATGATAACAAAAAGAAGTATCATTGCGAAATTAAATGGTGAGAAGGTCTGAAACCCAACGTTTGATGAACTGTTCCTCAGTACCTTCATTGGGTGAGTTTGGATCATACACTTGGTCCTGTTACAAGCTTAGGAAAATGCTGCGAGACACCTCCGTGATCAGATAACTGGCATACGTTAACCTTACCCTGTAGTCATAGGATATCTTACATATGTGCCCATTTGTAAAATGATTCTGGCATTGATGGTCCTTATATCATCTCGTCCGTCATCAACCTGTCGTTTACCATAATTGAACAGAAGATGTTTAATTGCAGGAAACTTGCAGCGGAAATGGATTCACAGAAACAGAATGGGGTTATAGCAAACGGGGAATCAGCACCCAAGACTCGCCGTAGTTCCAGGGACCCCAAGATATATGTTGAGATGGAGGAGGCAATGAACGGAGCTCCAGTGGGTAACAGCATCCCCATGGAAACACGGACACCATACTATTCTGATGCTTACGAGTCCAAACAGAAGGAGAAAAGAAAGAAGAGTGAACCCAAAGTTGTTCCAGCGCCGCAAGTCCCCAAACCTTTTGAGCTGCAAGAGGTATCCGAAGAAAATACCTGCTATCTAGGAATGGATAGTCCAACGGGAAGGCAAAGCTACCTAGGTTCTGAGACCCAGGAATCAACCGGATCTGACGGGGTGTCAATGATCTACTCCGAGCCATATGCAATGATGTCCTCATGTTCCAGCTTCAAGGAGGACAACTATACCTGTCCTTCGCTTACTTCAACTCTCACTCTGAGGTCCAATAAGGTCGACCAAACAGAAAATAATTACGAGGCTGCGTTCGGGGATGAGGACAAGGACAATTTAAAACGACCCGAGGACAGGGTGGTGGACGGTTCCTCAGTGGTTGAAAATGAGGACGAGTACCTGCTTCCCGTCACACCGGATATTGGTAAAGATAGAAGGGCGTCTGTGCAGTCACTGGAATATGCGTGCATCCCTACCAAGGACAATTCTCCAGGCAAAGATGGTGGACGAAGGAGGTCATTGTCCTACTTTGTGAATCAGGCTTTTGATGTGACAGACAGGCCGCCTCTTCCTCCTCCAATGATTGGCCGAGAGCCTCTAGCAGACAGAAAGCCATTGGTTGAAGTCGATGAAGGTCCATTGGCACCTGCTGAAAGTGAATTTGCGAATAGTGAATATTTCATGGATCAATGATAGTTTGTTTTACGATAGAAAACAACCACAACATGTGCCTTGCAGTACAAAGAACAAGAAGCTGTGTATCCCCCACGCCAGTGTTCATCATTGTGGCATAGATGCAGCGCGTCCTGCATTCCCTTGTTTGGTTTCATGAGCATGGCTATGGCATGGACATGGGATAACATATGGAACATGAAGTGATAAAACATGACAGTTGATGCCACAGCAAATGGACATATTGATTGGATTTACGAGTCGTTTTCCATAGTTGCGATGTCCTCAAGTTCACATTTAGAAGCCAACTCATCGCAATAGAAGTCACGTGTATTCAACTTAAAGACAATAAGCCATTTCAGTGACACCCTAACACTCTTCTAAGGGATACTGACGATCTAATCGCGTTGCAGGGGATATGTTTGATCACGTAATCACGAACTGAGTGACGTTGAGATGACTTCAGCAAATGACTAAGACTGGACTATTGTCTCACGAATTGTATAATACATACATCGTATCATACGTTGTCTTTTGTACATTCATTCTCTTACATACATGATGATAAATATATGTATTTACCTTTTGGATGTACATAATTTTACCTTTGAATGAGAGACACATTTTTGTATGAAGAAAGACATTATTTATGTACATATATATGTAAATAAAACTAAATATCTATTCATATCTTACGTTTAAAGAACTCTGTGTTTCTTAGACATCAACATCATGCAATAACATTTTTCTATTCAAATTTATATATGTGCAATCATCGCATGTACTAACATATTGGTTACATGTTGAGGTCGCAATCTCCCCAAAGATGCACATATTTAAATTAAATTTAGTCAATTTTAGTCTTTAAATTTGACTTTTGACATGTTTTCAAACAGCTTACTTCTCTGCGGGCCTGCTTCGGGTAGGGTTTTACTCATATATTATCCAGTCATTCGATTACGAGAACAAGGAAAATCATCCAATCAGTGGTCTGTATTCATTAAGCCCGAGGAGGTAGTCAACTTCCGGCACCTGTGCGGACCGTCATTAATCAACTGACATATGCTTCTAGGCTACATATACCACTTCCTGGGATGGGTAAGGTTGTCATTGATGTTTCTGGTGATCACGAACGGCCTTGTCCACCATGACACTAAAGTGAAGTTGAAAATATTATCTTTGTAACTTGTCACACAATGAACATTGACAGAGTGTACACTCGTATATTCACAAATGAAACTATTGCCCTGGTAAATGCATTTGTTGGTAACTTTATGCTTTATTTTATGCTCGAGGAGAATTGTTATCTAGGCAGTTTTGAGTTGCGTCTTCTCGATTCGTTGCCTCATGTTCAATATGCGCCCCGACTGTTATTCGATTTCGACCCTATCCTGTCCACTTATGTTTCGCTACCACGTTGTCATATACACATACCTGTAGCGTGAAACTCACTCACTCACTCACTCCAGTTGTGGATTCGAACTAACAGTTAGCTCATCCTCACAAATAAGGTAGGCAACCCTGCCCCGGGGGGTGCAATGAGACACTCACACTTGATACAGTTTAATACCTTGGAGTCAAGTTTTTAATGTAAACTACATACTACACATCGTCAAGGTATGTGGACATGTGTTCACGAGCGTATGTGCGCATAATGTATTTGACGCTTAGGGATAGGCTTGTCGGCGCCTGGAACGCAGTTGTCGCGTGGAGTTAGTCAGTAAACACTACGTGCCTCCACGAGTTTTATGAGCTTGATCAAACTCGCCATACTTATTCAATGTCACGGAGAGGTGATTATGTCTGAACCTTAACAGAGACACAATTGACGGGAAGTCGAAACGTTCTTCAGCGAGATTGAGTTGTCAATTGAAACCAAAGTATGGGATACTGTTAGGGACCTTTTCGCGTTCATCTTATAAATATATTTTGGATTGAAATAATAGTTTGGATTATTAGAGCACCACATGTTGTAACAATAATGCCATCCTGAAATTGCCAGTCATCATTCTAGGGCTAACTACATACTAATCTCAACTCGCAAGTAGTAGTGCAGGGGATACCCCTTTCTCTGAGATGATACTGACGTGATAGTTTCTATGATTGTACCCGGTTTACGTTACAGCAACTAGAACATCTGTATTACGTTGGTATGTATGTACAATTGCGTCATTGATAAGACAAACAAGTGGTTGATAACACGAGCCTCGACTCACATGGTCGGATTGCCGGGCAAGGTCATACATTGCTTGTCCACTTAGATACCGTGACGCAGTTTAACGTTGCTATCCAACTCAGTATATTGACTCTGAGCCGACCAACTCTTGTCTTATCCCTTAATGCCAAAGCGCGAGACAGGGAAACAACAAGTACCATCTTTTACCGTCTTTTGGTATGTCGCTGTCTGGCATCGGAATTTCCACTCTCTGGGCAGAAGCGCTAGATGTATCCACGAAACGAAGGATGCGCGCGATTCCAACGAAAGAGCAAGAAAAGGAAACACGTGTTAACCAAACAAACCAACTGGATGTTAGAAACATGTGCCTTATTTCGTCTATATAAATGGAATAAAAATATATGCTTTCTTGCCTTGTGTGTCCATACCTAGATTCGTTTCTTCACCTGTAATAATTTCTTGGAGCTTTCGCGGCGCTATACATTTGCCAAGATGGTTTTACCTCCGAATTGGTGCCATCAAGTATTGTGGAATCTGATGTAATCACGATGACCTGTATAGATATTAAAGCGATAGCGGCTTAGTTATAGAAACACACGGTTTTTCCCACTGAAACAAGATTACAAGTCATACTTCATTGTAGCACTAACGACCCCTCACTTTGCCATCGAGCTCGACGTTAAACAATGAACAACGCTGGACTGTCCCTCGTCTTCAGCGCTCTCGTAGCAACAGGTGGGTCTCCGTAACTTACGTATCGTGCTGTGTTAAAGAGCCTTGTGTCAGTCTGTCAATCAGAGCTATAATCTAAAGCAAGATGTATGATTATGTTTGGGAACCCAACAGAGCTGATAAAGTAACTTCGATAAAAGCAAATCTGTTGACAGGGTAATAATTTTACGCATTAAAAATGCGGTAAAGAGGGTTTGGGTGATCCTGGCACGGTCAGTCTGGTTAGGCTTATCATCAGCTCAGGGCCCTTGCCCCCTCGGCTCAGACAGCGGATGGGACTTCCTCCAGGAAGCGCTGCCTGGTCGAACTCACCCAGAACCTTTCGTAGAATGTGAAGACTCTCCAACACTGCAGCCTTCTGCATTAAATACGCAGATTGTCAGAAGGGCTGTACTCTCCCAATGTCAGTCAACAAATTGGGAGGTATCAAACCTAAGGCACCTAGAACATTTGGGAGTCGGAAAACTTGAAAGCGTGACATTTCGAAAGCGAGGTCCGCATATTTGCCATGTTTTTCCTAAATATTTTTAATCACATTAGTGTCCAAAGAGAAAACAAAAACAATGATATAAATGATTTAATTGGATTTTTAAACCAAGACAAGATCAGGTTTGTTGGCCTGGATAGGTCTGAGGCCTATTCCGAAGGGAACTGTATTTATCATTTTCCTCTACATATCTGTGTCGTATCATGGATGGACCTTTGAGTCAAAATCACACTCTATCGTGTCGCTTAAGATACTGTGTTTGTGCCCAAACTGGGCATCCACTGACAATGTGTTGAACAGTCCCATTAAATTCATTGTATAATCTACATATGTCTTCATTTTTTACATTTTGATGTAACATCACATACTGACGGTTTCGAGTGGGAAGTGACTGTTTCTGTTTCTCCTTTCAGGCCATCCGACGCCATCCATTATCATTATTATTATTAATATTATCATTATCATTATTATTGTTATCCATGTATTTCTCCCTGTTGTGTCGCAGTGGCAGGTCAGGTCACGTGTCCGGACAGCTGGACGCATTATGGGTCCTCTTGCTATGCCTTCTACAACATGAAGGCCAACTTCATTGAAGCATCGGTAGGTACTGATGTAACAAGTAGGCCAACTTCATTGAAGCATCGGTAGGTACTGATGTAACAAGTAGGCCAAGTTCACGGAAGCATCGATAGGTACTGATGTAACAAGTAGGCCAAGTTCATTGAAGCATCGGTAGGTACTGATGTAACAGGTAGGCCAAGTTCACTGAAGCATCGGTAGGTACTGATGTAACAAGAGAAGTTCATAAGGCGATCCCTATCCGACTGTCGCTATACACATGTATATAACCAACATGGACTCGACTTACGAACTCGACACAGACCTACGACTTATACTTACAAACATAGCATCAACTTACGAACTTAACATTAGACTAATGTTGCTAAAAATATCTTGTTGTACCGAAGTAAATAGAATGAGCATGTTTATATCGAGTGTATGCAAGTATATGCCGTGCCAGTTTAAAAGCTCTTGGAGATGCTGGGTCATTTAAGTGTGGAAACCTACATACTTTATTACATTTATATTTAAAGCTGATCGACATGCTGAACTGTTTAAGTGTGCAAACATATTCTGGCTATTTTGTTTAGAGTTTATGCTCATCATTCGGTGGTTCCTACCTGGCGGAGATCGAGACAGAGGGAGAGAACCTGCACATTAAGGCCTACATGCAGCTCCAGAATAGTGAGTGGCACGGGATGTCGCGGGAGAGAACTTCTTACCCTCTTTTGATCTGTTGATAGACGGGGATCGAACCACGGACCTTCAGACTTCCGGGCAGACTAAGTGGGAGCAAAGTTATATAAAAGTAATAGAAGTAATAGTCTGAACTGTCGAAGTGGATAATGATGAGGAAGTTGTGGTAGTAGCAACTGTTGCAGCACTGCTATCTTTGAGAAAGCGTTGTGTATAACATATTCCGCGAATAGATTATGTATGTCCATCTTTCCTGCAGTATCGAACACAGAATGATCATGAATTGGCGATTCTCTTCTGAAACACATACTGATAGTGTAGAAACACATAGTCATCTGGCCCGTGAAGATCCGGGGTAGGATAGGTCTTCAGCAACCCATGCTTGCCTTAAAAGGCGCCTATGCTTATCGGAAGAGGCAACTAACGGGATCGGGTGGTCGTGCTCGCTGACTTGGCTGATGCATGTCATCTATCCCAATTGCGTGGATCGATGCTCATGATATCAATCACTGGATTTTCTGGTCCAGACTCGATTATTTACAGACCGCCGTCATACAGCTGGAATATTGCTGCGTGCGGCGTTAAACAACAAACCAAATTGTCACCATATTCCGAATATCATTGATCACTAATATATCCCGATTAACACTGAAAGCACAAACACACAATTGATTCGTTTATGTGCTTTTGGCTAATTCTGAGGATAATTGAAATTTCGAACTAAAATGGCAAATGCACTCATTTTCTCGTTGTTCATGTTGTGTATAGGAACCAGTTCCTTTATAAGCTCATTCTCATGATCCCAGGGCTATGGATGCGGCTTTCATTAACACTAAAGTGAATATAACCTTTATCATGTTCCAGCGGACGGGGTGGACGGGGTGTGGCTGGGGGGTAACGACATCATGTCGGAAGGTCTGTGGGTGTGGGACAAGTCAGAGACATCTATTCAATACTTTGACTGGGGCAGCGGACAACCGGATGACAGTGGCAGCAAACAGAACTGCATGAGCCTATGGAAACACTTCGCCTTCAAATGGGCCGATCATTATTGCACCGATAAGCTTGCATTCCTCTGTGAACAGCCGTAAGAATATTGAGATTGTTGTTCTAACTAAGCTAATGCATCATAGAAAAGGAATAGATAATTTTTTTGCAGTGACTAAAATGTAATGCAATGTTTACATTTTCATAACCATTTTTTTTCAATTTGCGATATACTAAAATAGTAACTGCGTATTCATTTTATGTAAATGTGTACAAGTAAACGGCATACTTAACCTCATCTTATTAACAATAGCTTACAGTAAGAAATATTGTCAGATATTGAAAGGGATGCCCAAACGGAGCACTGTCCCTATTTCACATAAACCCTATATTTTACAGAGCAAAATAGACCAGAGACGTCAAGTTTGGAATTCCTCACCAGATACCGTCTACCATGTGGATGCACAACACGTCTGAATGTAAATTGAAATAAAAGATTGAAACAAGAAAAAGAACAGGACCTCATTGCAAAATCAAATGGATTAATTAGGCACAAGTGACATACTTACGAGGTTTTCATCTGTATACATGTCATTACTTTGGGATGTGATATATATATATATATATATATATATATATATATATATATATATATATATATATACTCAGTATTACTCACTCGCAAAAGAAATGCAAGTCGAGAATGCAGTATACATGTTATAATTAATTTTCAACAGTAAAGACAAGAAACACTAATAGGGCAAAAATTTGACTGAAGACAGTTTAATGGATTAAAAGGCAGATGACATAATTGTTTTTGTCAAATGTTAAGGGCTTACACAGTTTCGGGTCAATACCCAAAATGTCAGTCAATACCTGGTTTGACCACCATTAGCATTGATCACTGCCGCACATCTCCTGTACATTGAGTGGATCAGACGATTTGTGAAGGCCCTAGGGATCCTCCTGCACACATTCAGAGCAGCTGTGCGTAGTTCATCGGCAGTTGTAGGGACTGGGCGCACATTGTGCAGACGCCTTTGAACCTCATCCCACAAGTGTTCGATGGGGTTAAGATCAGGGCTGAGGGCTGGCCACGGTAGAACACGGATGTTGTGTTGTTGCAGAAAGGCCATGGCAGCTCTGGCAACAATGAGACGAGCGTTGTCCTGCCGGAAAATGTGTTGTTGATGTTGTGCAAAAAATGGAACAACGTGGGGTCTGATCACTTGGTCGATATACGGCTGAGCAGTGACGCCGTGTCCAATCCCTGCCCATATTCTGACGCTAGGTCCACCACATGGATCCCTTTCCACAACGTTTCTGTCAGCGAAACGATCACCTCGACGCCGCCAAATTCTGACTCTTCCATCTGCATGGGAGACACAAAAGCGACTTTCATCAGAGAAGATGACACGCCTCCACTCACGCTGACGCCAATTGCGATGACCCTGTGCCCACTGAAGTCGTGCTTGTCGATGCCGTGGTTGGAGAACAGGACGACGTACTGGTCGGCGACATCTGAGGTTGTTGAAACGGAGACGTCGGATCAGTGTCCCGGCTAATGTGTCGATTGTGTGTTCCTATGGTCTGTCGAGCACTATCACTTGCAGTTAGGAACGGATGTCGCTGGTGTTGACGGGTAATCTGCCGATCTTGTCGAGGTTGGTGACCCTAGGACGACCGCTCCGAGGAAGGTCATCTGTGTATAAAAATGTTTAAGTTGGGTAACCTTGTTAATCTGCGTCATGATGATATCTCAGTGGGCTAGTACTGAAAAACCGGTATAAGTCCGGACTAGTACAAGCAGTAATACAGACAGGCACACAGTGACACACATACAGACACTCTCACACACGTGCATGAAATTTCTAACACAGGAGCAGCATTCTTAAACGCGACATTAAACCCGATACCATCTCACCTCAATTACACCCACTTTCAGGAAATCCGAGGTCCATCTATTTTGAGTGAACAATGTTTGTGACAAATATTTTCTGTTTGTCTTGGTTGGAATTATGCAAAGAATACCAATATTCATCCGAATTAAGGAGCATCAACATAATTATTCCAATCCAAGCACTAAAGTTTGCACAGCCTGGAATATCTTTACGATGTCTGCGTTTGATGTATGCTTAAACATGCACATCTGATATTTATGACTACCAGAACCTGAGAACAGCCAATTCATTTCCTGAATCAGTATTTGAGCCTCACGTTACAGTGTTCCAAGATTGGCAATCAAAAAACGGTCAAGTTAAACGAAGGCAGGGACCACGTGGTGTTTCCCAGAAGCAATGATAACACCACGGACTTATATAGGTCCGTGATAACACGAAGCTGGTATTAAGTATTGATACACATTCAACGACTACAGACATCGACGACGGCAATAAACCCCATTGTGTTAATACCCTATAGTGTGACTCCGGGAAACGTAAATGGAAATCGTTCCCTATTTTGCATGGGAAAAATGTGTTCCAGAGTTTGTTTAGGTAAGGACCGCCTCCGCGGTCTAGTGGTAGAGCGTCCGCCCGGAGAGCTGAAGGTAAATCAACATTAGTCCGGACTAGTACAAGCAGCCACGCACGCACACACACGTGCATGCACGTCGCTATATAGGTGCAATAATCTCGGACGCGACGTTAAACCCAATTTCACCTCACCTTGTTTAGGTAAACGCTTGGCTTGCCTTTGCATGTGGTTGTGACCGAGGCCATCGGTGGGTAAAGATACATGTGCTTCTCGTGAACACCGGGTGTCATCACTATTTGATGATGATTCATAAACACATGCTTAATTGTCCGAATCGTACAATAAATTTAGATTAGTTATGGTTATGCAAATGGTTTTGTCGTATTTACTGACTGCCGCTGTTTGTTACACATTCGAGAAAGTAAGAGCGATGTTGACTTTGACAAATGGAAGACATTAGTTAGCCTCACTGTTAATTAATATTAACTATACACATTTTCCTGATTTATGATAATATAACCGTCCCAATAACCTTGCCCAATACCACAAACAAATAATAAGCAGTCTGTTCACGCTTCAGGCTGATACAACGTTATGGTACATGGTCAGCATGTCATGATTTTACGGCCTCTTCCGTTTTTCTGCCACAAATATAAGAATGGAGAGTTGAGGAGGATGAGATGACCAGATGATATGCTGATGCCTATTATAAACAAACAAAGACCTGATGAGGAACATTTAACGAAAAGCTACCAGATACTACCAATGGCAATACAAATCGCATGCACGTTCAATAGATAAACAAATAACATTCCGAATGAATTAAAATATCCCCGTTTATAAACGGATTAACTTGTTAGTCTAGGTATGAGTAAATGGTTTAGTATTGGAGCCACATCATTCTCCCATGACGCCATGGCAGAAGAGTACATTCGCTAAACTTCTGTGTGGATTTCGCGGGTTCGAATCGGGGACGTAGGTGTTTCGTGAAATGGTTTAATCATCAAGATAGATGTAAAGGAAAAGGCTCAGTTATTTCCGACTGGGTGAGTCAGTGAGTGAGTGAATGAGTTCGGTTTAACGTAGCTTTTAACAGTATTCCAGTTATATCGCGGTGTGTCAGCTTAATGTGGGAGGAAAGCCCGAAGTGATGCAGATCTCGGTCGATTACCACTTCGGTGAAACACACGAGCACTGGTATGGTGCTGACAAAACTAGAAACATAATTGGGGCGGACCGGGAATCGAACCAACAATCATAGGTTACTGGCGTGCCAAAGAGGCGCAACGCGGCACAGCGAATCGTTATTTCCCAGTGGAGTTCTACCAACAATTCAGTTAATTAATGCACGGTGAGAGAAAGAGACATCGTGATTTAAACATCTTCAAACAGCCGTTCAGGTAACATATATTATATATTACAAATTGCATATATTGCTGTGATCACAAAACCGATTGTTCAAATACATTGTCCATCAGTAGACATATATTATCAATTCTTCAATGTGTGTAATTACATAATATGTGGACAATTTATCAGTTATAACATTTAAACCCACTTCTAATACAAAGTACGAGAAAGAGTGAGTGAGTTGGGTTTAACGCCGCTTTTAACAGTATTCCAGTTATATCACGGCGTGTCAGGTTAATGTGGGAGGTAAGCCCGAAGTGATGCAGGTCTCAGACGTTTACCACTTCGGTGAAACCCACGAGCACGGTTATGGTGCTGACAAACCTAGAAACATAATCGGGGCGAGCCGGGACTCGAACCCACAATCATAGGTTTCTGGCGTGCCCAAGGGACGCAACTCTGCACAGCGAGTCGTTGCGCCTCCGACGACTGGGCCACCCTTGCCCCCTAGTACGAGAAAGAAAGAACTGGTGAATCATGGTTGAAGACATCGTGAATCTACCAGCAACATGGACACATTCATAGTTTACAGTATAACTAGTTCAGTCATAGTAACACTAATGCGGATGTAGCCATGTCAGTCACTTGAAGGTGTATGAAGGCAGGATATCAAATATGAAAAGATGGTACAAGTGTGGCATTTTGTACATTGATAAAGACCAAAAATGTTACAACAGTTCTAGTCTAGTTCTGGTTGATATTATGATAGTGTGTACATGAAAACAATGATATGCCCATGATATTTTAGCAAAATGTAACAGGCCTTAGCAAGTCTGACAATACACATAATCTTAAACGTTTAATGATAAGGCACTTTTGTAGGCACGTTTTCTTTACATATGCTTTTGGAACATCATAAAGTGGTATTCGTGCTTTTATAATTATGGTATTCTGCTAAAGATCAAACTAAAGTATTTTAATTGGAAACTTAATACCCCGTCGTGTCAGCTTAATATGGAAGGGAAACCGCAGTGATGCGGATCCGAGAAGTTTGATGGAACCCACGATGATGGGTAAGGTGCTGACAAACCAAGAATCAATTTCTGCGAGTTTCTTGAATTCGAACCCACACATACTATTCCATGCGTGAATCATATAACCTGTTACACATACATTGGTATGTGACATTTTGAAATAATAAAATAGGAAATATCGTTCCGATTCTTAGCATTTGAGAGAGACGACAAGACCCAGTTACCTCCCCTTAGTGAAAATTACTCCGTTTAACAGTTCTGTGGACACATGTGTTAATTACTGGAAAATATTATTTGCGTTATTGAATGAATGACATTTTGCTCAGACACCAATGGATTAACGAATCAGAGGGAGAGCATTGCGTAGGGTGTGTCATGCGCGTAGAACAGTGAGCAAGTGAGTTGATATGAGAAAGTGTATGAATGTAGTACCCATGAAGATCCGGGTTAGAATAGGTCTTCAGCAACCCATTCTGGCCCTAAAAGGCGACTTTGCTTTCGTAAGAGGCGACTAATAGGATAGAGAGACCAGGCTCGCTGACTTGGTTGATGCATGTCAACGTATCCTAAATGCGTGGATCGATGCTCATGGTATCAATCACTGGATTGTCTGGTCCAGACTCGATTATTTACGAACCGCCGTCATAAAGCTG